GTGTGGGCTATCGGGGTAACGCTGTACTGCCTGGTGTACGGGAAGGTAAGTGCTACTGTAATCACAGCCCGTGGCCGCATGGCCTCAGTGCAGACCTGTTTTACTCACGCGTGTGTGATACACGTGTGTGCTTTGCTGATGCAGGTGTTTGCTTATCCACAGTGTCCGTTTATGGACGATTACATCCTTGCACTACACTCCAAGATTAAGACGAAGCCGGTGGTGTTCCCGCTGAGGTGAGCCATTCCACAGTCAGCTCCTAACATTACCGCCAGACACACACACACCCCTGTACTGACACACACACCCCTGTGCTCACACACACACACCCCTGTACTGACACACACACCCCTGTGCTCACACACACACACCCCTGTACTGACACACACACCCCTGTGCTCACACACACACACCCCTGTACTGACACACACACCCCTGTGCTCACACACACACACCCCTGTACTGACACACATACACACACCTGTGCTGACACACATACACACCCCTGTGCTCACACACACACACCCCTGTACTGACACACACACCCCTGTGCTGATACACACACACACACCCCTGTGCTCACACACACACACCCCTGTGCTGACACACATACACACCCCTGTGCTCACACACACACACCCCTGTACTGACACACACACCCCTGTGCTGATACACACACACACACCCCTGTGCTGATACACACACACACACCCCTGTGCTGATACACACACACACACCCCTGTGCTGACACACACACACACCTGTACTGACACACACACCCCCCTGTGCTGACACACACACACACACAACTGTACTGACACACACACCTGTATCTCAGACCGGAGACGGGAGAGCAGCTGAAGGATTTGCTGTTACAGATGTTGGACAAAAATCCAGACACCAGGATCACCATCCCCCAAATAAAGGTTAGACCGGAGGGATGGAGGGACTGAGGGAGGAGGGAGGGTGAGAGGGAGGGCCTGAGGGAGGAGGGAGGGTGAGAGGGAGGGCCTGAGGGAGGAGGGAGGGTGAGAGGGAGGGACTGAGGGAGGAGGGAGGGTGAGAGGGAGGGACTGAGGGAGGAGGGAGGGTGAGAGGGAGGGACTGAGGGACGAGGGAGGGTGAGAGGGAGGGAGGGAGGTAGTGAACGAGCTGGGGATCAGTGATGGTGAACTCTGTTTACCCCTCTTGTTAACACTGGGGGGTGCTCCCCGCTGACCGTTGCCCTCGCTGTGAGCAGACGCACTCCTGGGTGAGCCGGGAGGGGGCAGAGCCGCTGCCGCGGGAGGAGGAGCATTGCTCGATTGTGGAGGTGACGGAGGAGGAGGTGAAGAATTCGGTCAAACTGATCTCCAGCCTCTCAGCCGTGGTGAGCAACACTGCCCCGGTCACCAGCCAGTCCTCACCCTGGTCACCCCCGACTCTGACCGCATGACCCCCCGGCCCCCTCACCCCCTCCCCTCCATGGAATGAAGTGACTGTTTGTGAACGTGGTTTGCACGCTGGCGACATTGAGGAGTCCTGTAGCTCAGTGGTTAGAGCGCTCGCCTCGCAAGTGAGACACCTGGGTTTGATTCCTCGGCAGGACAAGTTGTTGGGCAAGTTTACTTACTCCGCACGCCTCTGGTCACCAGCAGCCATTAGGAACCCGGTTGTTAATCGATTAGTGGATCGCTTTTCCAGGGAGAATAATCCTTTTTTTTAAAAACAAATGATATTTTGGTCACTTCAATCCACGGCTGTTTGCGGGACAGTCGCTGCTGTGTGCAATTGGCTGCCGCGTTTCGCCCACAAATATACAGTCGATTCACTTTACAGTATATGCTGTGAAGCGCTTCGAGGTGCCTCGAAGACCGTGATAAGGCGCTATTTCAAATGCAATGGATTATTATTATTATTGTTGTATTATTATGATGGTGCCGGGAGCAATGTCATTGTGAAATATCACCTCTGGGAAAGAAGGTTACACTTGCGAGTGGGAGATCTCAGGCTGACAGCTCAGTCCCACTCTCTGTCCGGCTGGTTAGTGGTTAGACTCCAGGAGTTACCCCAACGCACACTCTTGGGGTACCCCCCCCCGAGCCTTGGCTCTTCCCAACCACACTTTCCGGAATTAGGTACGCGGGGTACGTCCCTCCAGAGAGAGAGAGAGAGAGAGAGTGCGCATTCCTTTACAACAATCTGTCCCTCGAATTCAAGATCCTCATCCTCACCTACAAGGCCATTCACGGCCTCGCTCCCTCCTACCTCTCCGACCTACTATCCCCCACCTACCTGCCCGTACCCTCCGTTCCTCTGGCTCCGGTCTGCTCCACGTCCCCGCCCCAACCGCCTACCATCGGTGGCCTTCAGCCTCTCAGCCCCGAGGCTCTGGAACTCTATCCCCAGTGCCTTCGCCGCCTCCTCCCTTTCCTCCTTCAAGGCCGGTCTCAAAACCTTTCTCTTTGACCTTCAGCCTTCAACTCCCCTCTCGACTCTCTACCCCCTCCTCGCTCCCTCCCTTCCCTCCCCTCACCCTGACCATTTCCCCCCCTCCTCACCCCCTTCCCTCCCCTCACCCTGACCATTTCCCCCCTCCTCACCCCTCCCTTCCCTCCCCTCACCCTGACCATTTCCCCGCTGCTCGGGTCCTGACCCAACTGTCCAGCGCCTCGGGACGTCCTCCTGACGTGAAAGGCGCTCTATAAATGGAATCGTGTTGTTGTTGTTGTTGTCCCTTGGATTCCCATGTGTTGGTGGGAGACAGGGAATTCGCAGTTTAATTTGGAGACTCTAAAGCAACGGCGATGGGTTTCCGTATGTGTCAGACACCAAAAAAGTCTTTCTGTCTCTCTCACACTTCCACCCTCTCTCTCACTCTCACCCTCTCTCACACATCCTCTCTCTCACACGCACTGTTTCATACTCTCTCTCATTCCCTCGCTCTTCCCCTCTCTATTTTCTCTTTCTCTCGCTCTCTCATTCCCTCCTTCTCTCTCTCGCTCTCTCATTTCCTCTCTCTCTCTCTCTCTCTCTCACTCTCACCCCTCTCTCTCTCACCCTCTCTCTCTCACTCTCATCCTCTCTCTCTCTCACTCTCACCCTCCCTCTCTCACTCTCACCCTTTCGCTCTCTCAATCTCATCCTCTCTCTCTCTCTCACTCTCACCCTCTCGCTCTCTCACTCTCATCCTCTCTCTCACTCTCACCCTCTCGCTCTCTCACTCTCATCCCCTCTCTCTCACTCTCACCCTCTCTCTCTCTCATCCTCTCTCACTCTCATCCCCTCTCTCTCACTCTCTCTCTCTCTCACCCTCTCTCTCTCACCCTCTCTCTCTCTCTCTCTCTCTCTCACACCCCTCTCTCTCTCACCCTCTCTCTCTCTCACCCCCCCTCTCTCTCTCTCTCACCCCCTCTCTCTCTCACCCCTCTCTCTCACCCCCTCTCTCTCTCTCACCCTCTCTCTCTCACCCCCTCTCTCTCTCCCCCCTCTCTCACACCCTCTCTCTCTCACCCCCTCTCTCTCTCTCTCTCTCCCTCTCTCACCCTCTCTCTCTCTCTCCACCCCCCTCTCTTCTCTCTGACCCCCTCTCTCTCTCTCTCTCACACCCTCTCTCTCTCACACTCTCTCTCTCTGACCCCCTCTCTCTCTCTCTCTCACCCCCTCTCTCTCTCTCACCCTCTCTCTCTCTGACCCCCTCTCTCTCTCTCTCTCACCCCCTCTCTCTCTCTCACCCTCTCTCTCTCTCACCCCCTCTCTCTCTCTCTCTCACCCTCTCTCTCTCTCTCACCCCTCTCTCTCTCTCTACCCTATCCGGCATCTGTCCTCAGCAGCGAGAACCACCCTGAGCCAACACATCCCCAGCTCACCTCAGCGATTGTAAATAAGGGCGGGAACTTACTGTGTCCAAAATGGTGATACAATACAGTATTACATTTACACAGCGCCTTTCATGGACGTCCCAAGGCTCTGGATAGTAAGGGATTCGGACCTGACTGGGGGTGGGGGGTTGGTTGGGATCAGGGAGGGTGGAGGGAAGGGCAGGTAGGAGGGTGGCCGAAGGCGCGGTTGAAAAAGATGAGCCTTGAAGGAGGCAAGGGAGGGAGCGAGGTGAAGGGAGTGCGGGATGGAGTTTCAAAGGGTGGAGGCAGAGAAGCTGAATGCCTGACCGTTGATGGTGGGCTGGGCCGGGCGGGGAAGTGAAGCAAACCACAGAGCAGAGGGAGCGCAAAGGTTGATATGGCGTTAGCAGATCACAGAGCTGGGAAGAAGCAAGGCCGTGGAGGGCATTGAAGGCGAGGCCGAGGATTTTGAACTCTATCCTCTGGGGGATGGCGAGCTGTGGAGCCGGGTGAGGGTGGGGGTGATGGGGGCACGGAGCCTGGTGCAGGAGAGAACACGAGCTGCAGAGTTCTGGATAATTTGCAGCTTGTGGAGGGAGGAGTTGGGGAAGCCGACAAGCAGAGAGTTGGCATTGGGAAGCCTTAATGTGATGAATGCATGAATGAAGGTTTGGGCGGCCTGAGGGGTGAGGCAGGGTGATGTTGTGGAGGTGGGGGAAGGCAGAGCAAGTCACAGCACGGATGTGGGGGAGAAAGGACAGTTGAGGGTCGAGCAAGACGCCAAGGTTCAGGACTGACTCAGTGAGGTGGAATGTGCAACCATGGATGGTGATAATCTTGCCCTCCAAGATTATCTTGGAGTAGAAGGACAATTTGTCGGAGGCGAGGGAGGAGTGGTAAGTTTTGATGAGGTCCAGCCAGATCTGCCAAAAGACGGTGAGATTAGATTTGAGCCAGGTGTGTTCAGTGCCAAGCACCTGTGCCGAGAGAGAGCGGAGGTGACTGGTGTATCAGAGTTAGTGATAAACTGGTGTTTACAGAGAGTGAGAGAGGGAGGCACTGTCTCTCTCTCTCTCCCCTTCATGGTTAATGATCAGCCCCCGGGAGCGAGGAGAGCAGATGGCAGGCACCAGAGAGAGCAGCAAATACACCCGGTGTGCACACACACGCACCACATTCCTGCACAACAGCCAACCCCCAACACACTCATTAAATAAATACAATGTACAGACTGGTCACTGGGCGTTTGAGGTCATTGTAGTGACTGAGTCGTTACCCACAGCGCTAGTGTAATGCCAGTGCTAGTGTTACTCCCAATGCTAGTGTTACCCCCAGTGCTAGTGTTACCCCCAATGCTAGTGTTACCCCCAGTGTTTAGGGTTACCCCCAGTGCTAGGGTTACCCCCAATGCTAGTGTTACCCCCAGTGTTTAGGGTTACCCCCAGTGCTAGTGTTACCCCCAATGCTAGTGTTACCCCCAGTGTTTAGTGTTTCCCCCAGTGCTAGTGTTACCCCCAATGCTAGTGTTACCCCCAGTGTTTAGGGTTACCCCCAGTGCTAGTGTTACTCCCAGTGCTTAGTTTTACCCCCAATATTTAGTGTTACCTCCAGTGTTTAGTCTTACCCTCAGTGCTAATGTTATCCCCAGTGTTTAGTGTTACCCTCAGTGCTAGTGTTACCCCCAGTGTTGAGTGTTACTATCAGTGCTAGTGTTATCCCCACTATTTAGTGTTACCCCCAGTGTTTAGTGTTACCCTCAGTGCTAGTGTTACCCCCAGTGTTGTTACTATCAGTGCTAGTGTTATCCCCAGTATTTAGTGTTACCCCCAGTGTTGAGTGTTACCATCAGTGCTAGTGTTACCCCCAGTGTTTAGTCTTACCCCATGTTTAGTCTTACCCTCAGTGCTAGTGTTACCCCCAGTGTTTAGTCTTACCCTCAGTGCTAGTGTTACCCCCAGTGTTGAGTGTTACCCCCAGTGTTACAGCATCAGCCAGCTCTCAACTGCGCCCCCCCATCCCCCCACCCCCCCGCACTCATCCCAATCCAACGCAATTTAGCTGGAGCAATTTTACAACAACATCAACTTGCATTCCTATTGTGTGCTTTTCACAAGCGGAAGCCTCTCAGAGTATTTAACAATGGCAGAGCCTGAGCCGAGCCGGGGGGAGGAAGGATGGAGATTTACATTGCTATAGTGCCTTTCACATGGGAGGAGGTCTCAATGGGCTTCACAGAATCGTCTGGAGCTGGAGCTGGAGCTGGAGCGAGGGGAGCTGTGGGGAAAAGTGAGGTGGAAAAGAAGGGTCTTAAGCTGGGCTTTAAAGATAGGGAGGGAGAGGGGCTCAAGGTCCTGGATAGGCTAAACTCCCCAGGTTCTGCAGGGATCAGTCCTGAATATTCTCTCATCCCCAATGTGTCCAATGAGTGTAAGTGTGTGTATGTGAAAGAGTGAGTGTATGTGAAAGTGTGAGAGAGTGAGTGTGAATGTGTGTGTGAGTGAAAGTGCGAGTGAGTGTGAATGAGTGTGTGAGTGAGTGAGTGTGAACGTGCGAGTGAGTGTGAGTTATGCCTCTTACCCGATGATATACATCAAGACGGCCAGTTGGATGAATCGGAAAATAATGCCGATGTGTTTGTTCCTGACGGTGACCATTCGCGGCGTTTCATACTCAAAGAAAAAGTCTAAGATGCCGTCCAGCAGCCGGTGGCACATGGTCTGTACCGAGAATCCTTGTCCCAGTACCGCACTACACCATCATACACCACACACTGTCTCTGGCACACACAGGGCACTGGGAACTCTCCTCACACTCCCCTGTGGCTCTGTATCTCTCCGTATATCTGTGCGTCTCTCTATCTTGTCTCTCTATCTCTGTCTCACTCTGAGTCTTTACTTCTGTGTCTCCCTCTGTCTCTCTCTATCTCTGTGTGTGTGTGTCTCACTCTGAGTCTCTATCTCTGTGTCTCCCTCTGTCTCGAGGCGTGTGTCCCACTCTATCTCTCTGTGTCTCACTATGTGTCTCTCTGCCTCTCTGTGTATCTCACTCTGTGACTCTCTCTACCACTGTATCTATCTTCGTGTCTCTCTGTCTCCCTGTGTTCTCCCTCTGTCTATCGATCTGCGTGTGTCTGTATGCGTGGTTGCCTGTTTTGAGTGGGAGGAAATAGTTTGATAAGGATCCAATCAAATTTCTTCTGCAATATCCCCAAGTTTTCATTTGGAGCATCTGTCACTGAACTGTGTGTTTTACACAACATCAAACATTTAACCCTGTGTTCACTGATCTTCCTGACAGAGAGAGAGAGAAAGCGAGATGGAGGAGAGAGCCACTTGACCCATCATGTCTGCGCTGGTGCTCGCGCCCCCACTGGAGCTCTCTAACCCCATTCCCTGCTCTCTCTCTCTCTCTCTCTCTCCTTCCCCATCATGTCTGTGCGAGTGGTGGCTCTCTACTCTAACCCCATTCTCTTTGACGGGATCACTTGATGGCCATTGTTGGATATTCCTTTCAGAGTAAATCGACAATTAACAAAAGGGTCAATAATAAGAAGGGCAGGAAGTACAAAAGGATATTGGGAGTGGGCCACAATGTATGCTTTAGATTGTTGGGTTATTAAGGTGGATTTATGAGAGTTTGGCTGACAAATAAAGAAGCTACTAATACATCCTTTATTTGGATCGAGTTATATTACAGCCATGTGTGGTAAGGCATTGCAGATAGGCTGTGATGGTTGGTTTGGTATGTAACTCAGTTCCGTCACTAAAGTCACAAAAAAACCTGATTAATGTGTGTTTTGACTCGTTCTCAACAATCTCTTCATCTCACTTTCAGAAAGAGATTCTCTGATTAATTCCTCCCCCATCTCACCATCACACACTCACAGCACACACCATCACACACTTACAGCACACACCATCACACACTCACAGCACACACCATCACACACTCACAGCACACACCATCACACACTCACGGCACACACCATCACACACTCACGGCACACACCATCACACACTCACGGCACACACCATCACACACTCACGGCACACACCATCACACACTCACGGCACACACCATCACACACTCACAGCACACACCATCACACACTCACAGCACACACCATCACACACTCACGGCACACACCATCACACACTCACAGCTCACACCGTCATACGCTCACTCTCACGGACAGTGTAAATCATGCTCTGCTCTCTAGACCCAGTGGTTTGGGCTCAGTCACTCGAAGGAAATTCCATTTGATAAATAATCGTATGTGCAATAACACACTGTACGACCAACAATGGAATGATCCGTTTGTATCTCCTTATCTATGTTACAGTCAATTCACTTTACAGTCTATTCTGCGAAGCGCTTTGAGACATCCAGAAGACATGAAAAGTGCTATATCAAATGCAAGGATTATTTATTATTATTTATATGCACAGCGGTAAACTCTAACAGAACCAACCGCATTCTCTACCTCACTGATCGGGTAACAAAATGGCCACACACACTCACTCACTCTTCTACTCACTCACTCACTCGCTCGCTCACTCATTCACTCACCTTCACACACCCTCACATGGACTAACGTTCCCTTGTACTCACTCACACTCATTTAAACACATACCGTTACACACGCACCCCCTCCCCACCCATCCACCCGGATCCCAGGTCACCTGGGAACCATTTGATTGAGGGTAACAACAGTGGGTGTTACTCTGATAGCTGCCCACACCTCCCTGATCAACATCAGTCGATAGCTTATAAACTATGGCACTATAGATTAACCCAATCACCTTCACTGCACACGACTCAACCTCATTTGGAAATCAGGAAATGGAGAGAGTTTGGGGATCAGACAACAAGAAGTAACATTTACACAACGCCTTTCATGTCGAAAGGATGTCCCAAGGCGCTGGACAGTCAGGGATCCGCACCCAAACCAGGGGGTGGGTGGGATCAGGAGGGGTGGAGGGCTGGGAGGATAGGGGGTCGGAGGGTGACTGAAGGCGCAGACGAAGAGGTAGGTCTTGAGAGGAGACAAGGCAGGGAGCGAGGCAGAGGGACGGAGTTCTAGAGGGTGGGGACAGAGAGGCTGAAGGCTCGATCACCGATGGTGAGGTGTGGCCGGGCCGGGACCGTGGAGCCCGCTGAGCGGAGGGAACGGACGGGGTTTGGGGTCGGACAATGCGATGTTTGGGGTCAGACTGTGACACTTTGCGTGAAGCGACAATCAAACAAGATAGTCCATTGCCCACGGACTGTGCGCTACACTTGATGCCGCAGCGTTTGAACCAGCGACGGCTCCACACCACCCGCCGATTGAGGTGGAAGCTGTAATGTCTGCACACAGCCACACGGTGCCGGAAGAGATCCATTTTGAGAGGAATTGCCTTTGGCTTTTGGTCCCGGAATTTGTGTTGAGAAGTTGGAACCCGGTTGTCAGTTGTTCGGTGGATCGCTTTGCCAGGGGAACAATCCCCCCCCCCACCCAAAAAAATAATCCATGACCGTTTGTGAGGCACTGATGGGCGACATCGCCTGCTGTGAAGCGCTTTGAGACGTCTTCAACAACGTGATAAGGTGCTAGAGCATAGGCAAGGATTATTATTATTATTATTATTATGATATTCTGTGTTCGAAATGCAATAAAAGGAGAGACAGGCCGGTGCTGGGATGGTCCAGGATTCTGACTTTATTTCGGTATTTTTATGTTCGGAAAAAAAAATCTCGGCTAAAAGTGGATTTTTGCCATAAATAGAGAGGAATGGCACCAACAACCGTTACAGTAGTTTCTGAGCACATGATCACAGAGCACAAACCCTCATCTGTATCAAAGCTGCCAATGTCGATCCTCCATCTGGGCAAGACACGCCGGACAGAATCCCCCTCCTCGCCCACCTCACGCCCTCACCTCGCTCACTCTCTCAGCCCCCGGTCTCTCCGTCTGTCACTCTCTCTCTCTGTCTGTCTGTCTGTCTGTCTGTCTGTCTGTCTGTCTGTCTGTCTGTCTGTCTGTCTGTCTGTCTGTCTGTCTGTCTGTCTGTCTGTCTGTCACTCTCTTATCACCCTCTCAACCAGCCACTCTCTCCGTCTGTCCGTCACTCTCTCAGTCTGTCTGTCACTCTCTATCACCCTCTTAGCCAGCCACTCTCTCTCTCTCTGTCAGTCACTCTCTCTGTCCCAGGGTCACTCTCGCTCTCACTTCCTGACAACATTTCCGACTTTTCCTCGATCTCTCCTGAGCAGCAGATTAATGAAAGTTGAGCTGCTGAAACCATCCCGTTAAGCTCTGTCTTCTTGTTCCCGGGGCGATGGGTTTGTTCCTCCCCGCCCCACACACACACCCCGCCACCACCCCGAGCCCCGCGAGACACCAACCCTTGGTGCCGGCCTCTTGTGTTCATATATATTTTTATTTAAAAAACACACTTTCTACAACTCAGCGTGGAGATTCAGAACATAAAAAGGCATAAAAATAATCAAAGTATCAAAGCTAATCCATCGTCTCTTCTCCTGACTCCCTGATCTCGATCGAGAAAGAGAGCGAGACAGAGAGAGAGGGCGCGAGGGACAAGAGAGAGAGTGAGCTGCCACCACCTAATTTCCCAACGCTCAATTTGTCGGCATCTCAGACTCTGCCGAAGGGAACAGGAAGAGGCCATTTAGCCCAACCAGCCAGTTCCCCTTCCCCACACTTCTTGGATCTCGGCAGATCCCCAAGGCCCGCCTTTCCCGCCACGAACGAGCCCCGAATTTCTAAGAAATTTTTAAGAAAGTTTTTGTGGGTCACTTCCTGCAGCGGGAGCCAAGCTTCCTCCCTTCAGGGTAAATGATGTCAAGGAACTTCCTTGGTGCCATTTGTTAGGTGGAAGATGCCATGGCTGGTGGGGAGGGAGGGGGGTGGGGGTGGTTGGCATTTGTGTCTCCATTAAAAACCAGAGCAACCCCCTCAGCCCCACAGGAGACAACCAATCGAGAATTTGTTTCATCTTAAATATACAGCAGTGTTGGGGTCACACAGGCACCCACAGGGGAGAAAAGTGGGGGTGAGGGGGTGTGTGTGTGTGTGTGTGGGAGCGGGAGAAGGGGGGTGGGGGATGTGTATCAAATTGGAAGGACATGGGACCAGGGTGTGTGTGGTGGGGCTGTGTTTGTGTGCGATACATGTGTGGGTGGGGGGTCGCGAGTGTGTCGGTGGGGGTCGTGTATGTGTGTGTGCGTGTGGAGGGGTGTCACGTGTGTGTGTGTAGGGGGGTCGTGTGTGTGTGTGTGGGGGGGGGTCACGAGTGTGTGTGTGGGGGGTTGCGTGTGTGTGCGCACGTGTGTGTGTGGGGGGGGTTGCGTGTGTGCGCACGTGTGTGTGTGTGGGGGGGTGTTGCGTGTGTGTGCGTGTGTGCGCGCACGTGTGTGTGGGGGGGGTTGCGTGTGTGCGTGTGTGGGGAGGGGGTTGTTCTCAGTGTTACAGTTGCTGTCAGCTGTTCACTGTGACAGACACGCCAGCCAGACGGACTGACCTCCAGTTACCGCACACACGTATGTACAGGAAAAGCTATAAAAACTGGTAAAAGATTCAATCGTTAAAAACCCGCACAACTCCCTGCAGAGACTGGCAGACCTGGGGCTTGGGGCGAGGGGATTCCAGCCCCGCCCGCCCGCCCGCCCGCTCGCTCGCTCGCCCCTCGCTCTACTTCAGCTGCCGCCTCTTAATGTACCTCTTATCATTTTCTTCTGTTTGGAGCAAAACAGAGAGAGAGAGAGAGAGAGAGAAAACACGTCAGCATTGTGCTCCCATCTCCCTCCCCCAACCCAACACACAAACTACCCCCTCCCACACACACACATGCCCCCACACCCTCACACTTGCTCCCCCCAACACACACTCCCCAAACCAAACACCCGCCACACATACACACACGCATCCCCCCCCTCCCCACACACTCACTCCCCCCGTACACACGGCGCGCCACACAGTCCGTGTACGTGTCCACAGCCACAGTCAGATGAAAACTTAAGATAAGAGTGAAGAAAAAAAAAGGGGAGAGCGAGAGCGAGAGGCACCCAGCAATGGGTGGGGGGGGGGGTAAGAGTAAGGAGAGAGCATGTCTGTGCCGGGGGAGGGTGGGCTCAGCGAGGAACCGGCTCAGAGTAAAGCGAAAGGCAAAATCCTGCAGATGCTGGAAATCTCAAATAAAATCAGAAGTGGCTGAGAACCTGCAGCAGGTCAGGCAGCATCTATGGAGAGAGGACAGAGACCTTTCACCGTAGACGCTGCCTGACCCGCTGCGGGTTCCCAGACACTTCTGTTTCTGTTTCAGAGTAAAACGGGTTGAGGAAGTCGACGGGAAGTTGTGCTGCGGGAGATAAAAAGTGACTTGGGCTGAAAAACAACACTCAGTGACACAGCGCTCAGCACTGCCTGAGTGTGTGTGTGTGTGTGTGTGTGTGTGTGTGGTGGGGGGCGCGGGGGTGGCAGAGCTCAGCATCGCCTGAGTGGGTGGGGTGGGGTGGGGTGGGGTGGGGGAGCTCAGCATCGCTTCCGAGGAGAGTGAGCAGACAGTGTTCCTCATCTCTCCAGCCCTCCCCCCCCCACCCCACTGCCCGCCCCCACCGCCCACCACCCCAGTCTGGATAGACCCCCCCTCCCACCCCGGCATTCACACGGACAGGCTCCACTGTGAGCGATGTTCACACGACTCATTAACACAGTGTCAATCCCAGCGGGAGGTTATGGTGTGAATGAATCTGCCATCCCTCCCGAATGTCAGTCTGGCTCAGTCAGCGACACTCTCACCTCCGAGGGTCTCAGTTTGGGGTTCAAGCCCCACGTCTGAGGATTTTGAGCTCACAGTCTAGGCTGACGCCCCAATACAAGACAAAATTACATTTGTAAAGTGCCTTTCACATCGAGAGGAAACCCAAGGCGCTGAACAGTCAGGGATTTGGACCTGAGCTGGGAGTCAGGGAGGGCGGAGGGCAGGGAGGGAGGCCGAAGTCGAAGAGCATGGTTTTGAGACGTGCCTTGAAGGAGGCCAGGTGGGGAGCGAGGCAAAGGGAACGTGGGATGGAGTTCCAGAGAGGGGGAGCAGAAAGGCTGAAAGCCCGACACCCGTTGGTGAGATGGACCGGGCGGGGGACATGGAGGAGGCCACAGACTGCTGAGCGGAGGGAGTGGACAGATTGATATAGGGTCAATAGGTACACAGAGGTAGGGAGGGGCAAGGCCGAGGAGGGGCTTTGAAGCAGAGGACAGGGATTTTGAACTCTATCCTGGGGAGCCAGTGGAGTCAGGCGAGGATAGGGGTGATGGGGTCACGGAGCCTGGTGTGGGAGAGGACACGAGCTGCAGGATTCTGGATGATCTGCAGCCTGTGGAGGGAAGATTTGGGGAGGTCAACAAGAAGGGAGTCTGCATAGTCGAGCCTAGATGTAATGAAAGTGTGTATGAGGAAATGCCGCACGAGACAGTGCGGGGGCTAGAGGGGAAACCGATTGTGGAGATGAAGTGGAGGCGGTGTGAGAGGTACAATCTGAACTAGGACAGCGCCGTGAAGGTTGAGGCGAAAGGAGAGGCGGTGGATGAGGATAGACCGGTCGATGGTGTTGAAAGCAGCAGAGAGGTGAAGGCGGACGAGGAGGCAGAGGGAGCCCTGGTCGCAGACGGACAAAATGTCATTCTGTGCCGTGGTGGCATGGAAACCCGATTGGAGGGGTTTGTGAAGGCAGTGGCGGGAGAGAAAGGAGTGAAGCTGGGAAGCAACGACTCAGTTCAGGTCCAGTGTAGCGCTGGGGTGGGGGGGGGGGGCGCGGAGGGCTGCATCATCATACGCGCAGTTCTTCGGATGAGACATAAAACTGTTCATGTGAACAGAGGTTAAGGACCCTATTTGAAAAGAAAAGGTGGTTTCTCTCTCGCTCACAGTCTCCTGGCTGACAACAACAACAATAATCCTCGCATTCGATATGGCGCCTTATCACGTTGTTGAGACGTCTCAAAGTGCTTCACAGTATATACAGTAGTGTTGTGACTGTGCGTTTTATGGGCGAAAAGCGCACAGCGACGTCCCCACAAACAGTCGTGGATTGAGTGATAAAATATTTTTAGAAGGGATTATTACTCCCAGAAAGCGATCCGCCAATCCACTAACAACCAGGTTCCTACCTACTATTTACACAGACATGTGTGTGTGTGTGTGTGTGTGTGTGGAGTAAGGAAACTTGCCTAAGGTTTCGCCCTGACTCCCGCCCGGGAATCAAACCCGGGTCCTCTCGCTTGCGAGGCGAGGGCTCTAACCACTGCACTACGGGACTCCCTAACCCCCTGGATAAAAAATAATTTGTTCACTTTTCATGTCTGTTTGTGGGACGTCGCTGTGCGTCAACACAGCCTGGACAGAGCCACGAGGGGAGAAACGCAGAGAGAAGCAGAAATTGAGACCCACAGGAAGGCAGAGTTAGTTCAGGAAAAGAGGAGGTTTTATTGAAGGTAAAGCACGACAAGCAGGTGATGTCGCGGACCGTGTTACACACCTTTTTAGGTTGTTATTTGAAAAGGAAAAAAGAGAAACAGAGACAACAGCAGCAGACAGAGAGCTTCAGTTATTTTGCTTTCCGGTTAGAAAAATAGCGTGGATGTGAGAAGATTATTTATTAGGTAACGGTGAGCGTTGCAAGTTATATCCTAGACTCCAGGTATGGAGAGAGAGAGACAGAGAGAGGGTGGGAAGGGGGGGCGTGGTGGTGCTGGGGGAGAGCGAGAGAGTATGGGGGGGAGAGAGAAAGACGGGGAGGGAGAGAGGAGAGGACAGAAGAGCGAGAGAGAACGAGACAGAAGAGTGAGAGAGAGAGAGACAGAAGAGTGAGAGAGAGACAGATGAGAGAGAGAGAGACAGGGTTGCTGTCTGTGAGGAGGGGAGATATATATAATATTAATATATTTTTGGCACGTTATAGGTAAGTATGGACTTAGACGCTGCAGTGACACAGTTCCTCCTGCTTCGTCTCTTATCCAAAAAGCAGCAATGTACATTAACTCCCCCCCCCTCCCACCACCTCACCGCTCCACGGCCCCACACCAGAGTGCGGACTATTTTATTGCTGTAAATCTGCCCTCAGGCATTTTATGACAAAGGTCCACTCTCTCCCCGCCCGGATATTCACTCAAATACGAAAAACAGTCGGGAAATTTAAGCATGACGCGGGGGTGGGGGGGTGTTGGGAGGGCAAGACAGAAGTCAGACAGTGCCCCACTCACCCACTCCACTCCCTGCCCACAAAACACACAGTCACTACACTTTGCACTGAATGCTGGGAAGCACTTGGAGGCGTGCTCTCGATGTGAAAGATTTGCATCTCTGGGTGTCCAGCAAAGTGTCCTAACCCCCCCCCCCACCCCACCCCACTCGCTCGCTCCCCACTCAACAACAACAAGTTACATTCATATAGCGCGGTTCATGTCGGGAGGACGTCCCATTCCCTTGTTCCCGTCCCCCACCCCCGGCCTGAGAAATTGGAGTTGAGAGTTGTGAGAGTGGGGATGGAGGTGGGGTGGGGAGATGGAGGGATGTGGGGTGGGGCGGGGGGGGGGGGGGTAAACACAGACATTTACAACACAGAAGGAGGCCATTCAGCCATCGGGTCAAAGAGAAACCACATCAACGAGAGGGGGAAGTGAGAAGCATATTATAGCCCCCACCCCTCCATCCACCTCCCCACTGCCCCTCGCCCTCTCCCAAGGGACAGAGCCTGATCCACCTCCCCCCACACGTCAGGCACGAACCTCACCTGGCGGGAAGCGAGGACTGAAGCGAGAGCGGCAAGGAGATGGGGGGGCCCATGGAGGGGTGGGGGGGGTGTCACGAAGGGTGGGTGGGGGCGCAGCGGAAATCCAGAGACTAGAGCAGACAGTAGAGCCAGCAGAGGAGAGGGGCCGAGAGACAGACGAAGAGCCAGGAGACGTCCCCAAAGCCCCCCCCGCCCCCCATCGCTGGGTGTTTACCCTCCAGGTAGTTCCGAGCCACGTATTTGAGCGCCTCGTCCAGCAGGATGACGGGCAGCGAGATCTTCAGCACCATCACCCACTGGTGACTGCTCAGCGCCCGCACCTGGAAAATCAGCTGCCGGCAACGAGTGGACAAGGTTACACACTGCAGGCTGCGCCCCAGACCCTCAACAACCCCCCACCCACCACATGCACCCCCACCCCCAACCACCCTCCATCCCCCCCCCTTCCCTTCAACACCCCACCTCACACCCTCACCGGACCCTCCCCCTCAACCACCCTCCACCTCCACCCCCTCAACCCTCTCCCATCTTACACTCCCCCTCAACCACCAACCCACTCCCTCCCTCAACTCCACCACCACCGTACCCTCCCACCCCCACCATATCTTTCCCTTCAACCCTCCCCTCCCACCATACTTTCCCCCTCAACCCCTAACCCATCTTACCCTACCCCTCAACTCCCAAACGCACCATCCCCTCCCCTCATTCTGCCCTCCCCATCAAACTCCGTCACCCCCAATTCACAATGCACCGCCAACAAGGGGGAGCGGGGGTAGACACCACACACTCGTGTCCTGGCCCTCTCAACTCCCCAACGCACTCCCCGAACACCCCCCAGTGGACTCCCCACCCAAAGCACCCCCCAAATACCACCCATCACAGTTCCCCTGAAGCATTCCCCAACCTATTCCCACCCCTCCAACCCACACACACACACCCTTCCTCACTTGTACCCCCTCCACCACCACATTACCTCCAATCTACTCCACAAGTCTGCCCAATGTATCTGAATCTGTACCCCAACAATTCCCCCACTTGACCCGCGCCCCCCATCCCGCGGACTCACTGGCAGGGGCTCCACGTAGAGGATGAGGAAGTGCAGCACCATGGACAGACAGATGGCCCCAGCAGCCAGAAATTCACCCACGGGGGCATCCGCAACAGAGACTGGTTCTCGGACAAGCTGCGGCGAGGGATCAGAGGTCAAGAGTTAAACAAGAGTAGCGGGTGGGTTGGGGGGGGGGGAAGAGGAGGAAGCAACGCAATGAGGGAGGGAAGGAGAGAGGAAGAGAAAGGAGAGAGGGAAGGAGGGAGGGACACTGGAGGGAGGGAGGAAGGAGAGTAGGGTAGGAGATAGACTACCTGTTGAGTGCGTTGCACATCTCAATAGTCACCAGCACGGACAGGGCCATGGTGGTCGGGTAGCGAGAATCAAAGACGTGACAGTCAACTCCTTCAAAGAGCAGGTTGTCGGGTGTGCACTGCATGAAATGTCTCTGGGAACAGAGAGAGAGAGGGAGAGAGTTTACAGGTCATTCCAACATAGGAACAGGAGGAAGCCATTCAGCTCCTCGAGCCTGTTCCGCCATTCTGTAAGACAATGGCTGATCTGTACCTCAAATCCACTTTCCCTCCCTTGCCCTGTATCCCTTAATACTCTGACCTAACAACCATCAACCATCTATGCATCTCAGTCTTGAAGATGTGAATGGATCCGGCCATAATCCACAGCCTTTTGGGGCAGAGAGTTTCTACACCAATCACATCAACTCACATCGCACTGGGATCCACGGGTAAAATGTGAAAATACAGAGCAAAGCAGAGAGAGAGTGAGAGTGTGAGAGACAGAGAGAGAGAGAGAGAGAGAGACAGAGCACTCCATAAGGGGTCAGAAAGATTCCCATGTGTGGGTGGAACGCTCAGTTTGGTTCTGAGACGTTTAAGTACAGGGATGAGTGTGTGTGTGACTGACCAAACAATGCAAAAGGCCGGATGCTGGAAATCTGAAATAGAAACAGAAGTGGCCGGGACCACTCAGCAGGTCAGGAGGCATCAATCCAGGGAGGAAAGCGAATTAACGTTTCAGGTCGATGACTTTGGGTCACTTTCCTCTCTCCATAGATGCTGCCTGACCTGCTGAGTGGTCGCAGCCACTTCTGTTTTTGCAACCTAAGTGATTCTTCCACTGAGAGGATTCCAGGTGCCCCAAGTCGTGCAATTAACCAATAATAATTCATGATAATTAACACCCGTAAATATAACAATCTTTCCATTTGACACAGGGCCTTATCTACATCATTGAGATGGCTCAAAGCGGTTCACGGGAATTTACTGCAAAGTGTAGTGACTGTGCACTTTGCACGAGGCATAATAGCTGTCCCCAAATCCCCCCGCGCCCCCCCCCACTCCCACTCCTGCCTCTCCCCCACACCAGCTGTGTTCCCCCCAACCAGGCTGTGCAGCTCATTACCAGCTGGTTGAAGGTGACTTGAGGACCATCCACGTCGTACATGAACCACCAGCTGGCAGCGCCCACCGTACCCAGCCCCACGTAACCTGGGGAACGAGGGCACAGGGTCAACAGCAGCGACAGCAACAACCCCCCCCACTCCCTGGGCCTATGCAAGACAATCCCATCCCAGTCTGGGACAACGAGTGAGCGAGTGATTTTTATCAGGGGACACCGAGAGAGAAATTCCCTTCTCTTTTCGAGTATCAGGTTGTTGAGACGTCTCAAAGCCCTTCACAGGGAATACTGTGTATTTTGTGGGAAAAATACGGCAGCCAATTGCGCACAAGCAGCGTCCCACAAAGAGTTTTGGATTAAGTAACTAATTTTTTTTCGAGGGATTATTACCCCAGGAAAGTGATCTGCCAATCGACTAACAACCAGGTTCCTACTTACTGCTTAAACAGCGGCATGTGTGTGGGGAATAAGGAAACTTATCTCAAGTCTCGTCCTGCCTGGGAATCAAACCGGGGTCCTCTCGTTTGCGAGGCGAGCGGGTTAACCACTGAGCTACAGGACTCCACATACCTACCCTTCCCTCTTTAAATACCCTGGATTGATTGATGGCACCTGTGAGAGTGTGGACGCCGAGACCCTGATTGCTCACCTCCGATGGCGATGTAGCGGAAGAAGAGCCAGCCGCTGATGAGGGGCTCCTTGGGGTTGCGGGGGGGCTTGTTCATGATGTCCAGGTCGGGGGGGTTGAAGCCCAGGGCGGTGGCAGGGAGGCCGTCCGTCACCAGGTTCACCCACAGCAGCTGTACTGGGATCAGGGCCTCGGGGAGACCCAGGATAGCCGTGCAGAAAATACTGGGCGGGAAACAGTACAGTAAGAGTTAACCCCCACCACATTGACTGTGAATTGACCGTATATTTTGTGGGCGAAACGAGGCAGCTGATTGCGCACAGCAGCGTCCCCACACACAGCCGTGGATTGAAGTGACCAACATTATTATAATAATTTTTTTTTGCGAACGAATGATTACCCCCCAGAAAGCGATCGGCCAACGGAACCCGGGTCCTCACACTTGCGAGACGAGCGGTTAAGCACAACACTACACTGCAAGCCCAGGAGAGCTCTGGAGGATGAACCTCGGGGCTGTTTGGAAGACGGAGGTTGGAACATCTCTCCTCTAGCAACCTGCTGCCCGTCAGGGCGGTCAATGGGACTATTCGCTAACCACTACGCAACAGTACTACCCACTCCACCCGCGCTACAGAGAGAGAGAGAGAGAGAGAGAGAGAGGGGGGGAGACGGCAGGCACTGACCACACCACCTCGCCCACGTTGGAGGAGATGAGGTAGCGGATGAATTGCTTCATGTTGTTGTAGATGGCTCGACCCTCCTCCACCGCGGCCACGATGGTGGAGAAGTTGTCGTCGGACAGCACCATCTCCGAGGCCGTCTTGGCCACTGCGGTGCCCGAGCCCATCGCGATCCCGATCTCAGCCTTCTTCAAGGCGGGGGCATCGTTCACCCCGTCACCGGTCTGTGTGAGGGGGGGGGGCACATGGTCAGCACAACGGGGGGACACACATGGTCAGCATGGCGCAGGGTTGAAAGGGGGGCTTCTTGTGTCCGAGGGAGGTTGGGGAGAGTGAATTTGACTGCTCTCGGGCAGACGTTAGGGAGGGAGTGAATGTGTGATGGAGTGAGTGAGGGAGCGAGCGAGCGAGGGAGGGAGTGAGTGAGAGAGAGAGAGGGAGGGGGGAGTGAGGCAGAGAGTGAGAGGGGTAGAGAGGGAGTGATTGAGTGAGGGAGGGAGGGAGGTAGTGAGAGAGGGAATGAGTGAGGGAGGGAGGTAGTGAGAGAGGGAGTGAGTGAGGGAGGGAGGTAGTGAGAGAGGGAGTGAGTGAGGGAGGGAGGGAGAGAGAGAGGGCTCACCATGGCTGTGATCTCGTTGAAGGACTGCAGATACTCCACAATCTTGGACTTGTGAGCCGGTTCGACTCGGGCGAAGCAGCGAGTGGAACGACAGGCTTCCCGCTGCTGCTCTGGCGACAGGTCGTCAAACTCTCGGCCGGTGTAGGCCTTCCCCGTCACCTCCTCGTTCTCCCCGAAGATCCCGATGCGCCGGCAGATGGCCACCGCAGTGCCCTTGTTGTCCCCGGTGATCATGATGACCCGGATCCCAGCCTTGGCGCACATCTCAATGGAACCGACAACCTCCTGCCGCGGAGGGTCTAACATCCCCACACAGCCAACAAAGGTCAGGTCAGTCTGCGGGGGGTGGAGAGAGGGAGTGTGAGAGAGGGAGGGAGGGGGGGAGAGAGAGAGAGAGGGAGGAAGAGAGAGAGTGTGAGGGAGGGAGGGAGATAGTACGAGTGAAAGTGGGAGGCAGAGAGTATGAGAGAGTGGGAGAGAGTGGCAGATAGGGAGATGGAAAGAGAGAGGGAGGGAGAATGATAGATAGGGAGAGAGTGTGAGAGAGAGGGAGGGAGAGAGAGAAAGATAGTGTGTGTTGGTGGGGGAGCGAGAGTCAGAGAGGAGCTTGGTGTCCGTGCCCCCATCCCCACCCCCGGAGATACTCACCTCGTACTTGATGAACTTGGTGGCATCCTGCAGGTCCATGGTGTCCCTGTTTGGGGGGCTGTCGCGGGTGGCGAGGGCCAGACAGCGCAGGGTGTCCCGGCCTGTACCCCACTCCTTGATCAGAGCCATGATCTTCCCTCGCACGCCCCCCGTCAGGGCCAGCTTCGTGGTCCCCACTCGCACATGTGTACAGCGCTCGATCACACTCTCCGGGGCCCCCTACACGGACACATACATTATAGCCCCTACACACACACACACACACACATTATAGCCCCTACACACACACATTATAGCCCCCCCACACACACGCACATTATAGCCCCTACACATACACACACATTTTAGCCCCTACACACATACATTATAGCCCCTACACACACGCACACATTACAGCCCTTCCACACACACACGCACACACATTATAGCCCCTACACACACGCACACACACACACATACATTACAGTCCCTACACACACAGGAATACCAGCAACCAGCATCAGTGGCCGGGGAGAATATCATCATCAATCACCAAACAATGACACCAAACAACAACCATCACCACCTGGCAGATACACCCACACACACACACTCGTAGACACACACACACACTCATAGATACACACACAACTTGCATTTATATAGTGACGCACACACTGATACACACACAACAAAATTGTACTTGTATAATGCCTTTCACACACAGACACACACACTCACAGACACAGACACGCACAGACACACACACTCACAGACACACACACGCACAGACACACACACTCACAGACACACACACACACAGACACACCCGCGAGTGGTTTATCACCTTGACAAACATCTTGTTGCCTGCCCCGCTGGTCGAGGGATTGGCGGGGGAGCAGAAGACGGACATGGACTTGCGATCGCGGGAGAATTCCAGAGTCACTTCTTTCTTCATCAGCTGTTTGATAATCTGGGGAGAGATCGGACACCAGCGGCCAAACCATCAAACCTGCCACTTCCTCCCGACAAAACCCTTCCCAAATGAGGGCGCGCGTGTGAGAGCACTGCGTGAGAGAGGGTCCAGAGAGCGTGCAAAGGAGTGCGTGTGTACCAGTCCTTGCCAGGCTCCACTGGCTCTCAATTACCGAACTGATCCATTTCAAGACCCTCTCACTCGTCAACAAATCCCTTCATGCCTTGGTACCTCCCTACCTCTCCGACCTGCTTAACCCTCTCACTCCACCACCCGCTGCCTCCGCTCGGCTGACTCCGGCCTCCTGCTCGTCCCTCGTCCCCTCAACCATCGGTGGCCGTGGCTTCAGCCACTACCCCGGAAACTCTGGAACTCTCTCCCTCAACCCCTTCACCTCGCCCCCTCCCTCCCACCTTCAAATCCCACCTAAAGACCTTCCTTTTTGATCGTGCTTACGGTCCCCTCCCCCTGGCTCGGGGTCAGACTCCGCCACTGTCAAGCCCCCCGGGACCCTATCCCGCGTGAAGGACGCTGTGTAAATGCAAGTAGTTGTTGTGGTCGAGAGTGTGCGAAGGAGCGCTTACAAGAGAGCGCACGTGTGTGCGCGCGCGTGGATGACCGTGCGTGCGTGTCGTGGCGAGCGTTAGCAACGTAACTCACATTGTTACACGCGGTGGCTCGCTCCACCTTGGATATGTCGCTCAGATCCGTGTTGAAGACGTTCATCTTCTCCACCAGGCAGGTCAGGGCCGTCTCCGTGGCCTCCCCCACCTTCTCATAGATCCCCTTGGCCTGTAACCCGACAACCACAGGGTGAGCCAGCGCGCCTCAGAAAGCCCCCGCTCCCCCCTCGTCCCCGCCCAGCCCACCCCCACCCTGTTCTGCCTCCTGCCCTGCTCCACCACCCGCCCCATCCCATCCTTGCCCAGTACCATCCACTGTCCCAGTCCCCCGCCGCCCCCCCCCACCCCCCGTCCAGCCATCCCACCCCCGACAGCCCCCACACCGTCCCCGGCGACTGTTACGCACCTCGTTGTAATCCAGCGAGGAGTCGTTACACAGCGAGCAGATGGTGGCCAACTCCACCAGCCCGCTGTAGTCTCCAGGCCGCACTCGGATCCCCGCCACCTCCCTGCGTCCAAACACACACCCGCGTCAGCTCACACATACACCCGTCAGTTTACATACTCGCTGCGCATAAGTCACTGCCCACCCTCCACACGCACACGCACGCGGTGGTCGCCCCGCAACCAGCCCACCCGTCCACCAACACATGGTAACGTGGGTGTAGCTGCTCCAGTGCTAGATGTCACCACTAGATGTCAGCAGCTGACTGTAAACTGATCCTGGGCACAGCGGGGACAATGATCTAATAATCCTGGTGTGAGATACAGCGCTCGGTGCTCATTGCCCCCCTGTACCGGTGCGGGGAGGTGGGTGGGGGTGGGGGGTGGTTGGGAGGGGGTTGACAGAGGGAGTGGGGAGTGGGGAGGGGAAGGGGACGGACACTCACACGTGGCCGTCAGGGGCGTAGGTGGATCCGGTGATGTTGAACTCGTGCATTGTGCAGCTGTCACCCTCCACCTGGTCCAGCACGAACATCTGCGGAGGACAGATCACCGTCACCTCAGGTTACTAACGGCCCCCGCCACCCCTCACTCACTCACGTTCGACACAGTACTGCAGCAACACGGCAGTTTACACCCCCACCCTCGCCCTCGCCGGCTTCACGGCTCCTCAGAGCGAGAATCAAGACGTGACAGTCAACTCCTTCAAAGCAGGTTGTCGGTGTGCACTGCATGAAATGTCTCTGGGAACAGAGAGAGAGAGGGAGAGAGTTTACAGGTCATTCCAACATAGGAACAGGAGGAAGCCATTCAGCTCCTCGAGCCTGTTCCGCCATTCTGTAAGACAATGGCTGATCTGTACCTCAAATCCATTTCCCTCCCTTGCCCTGTATCCCTTAATACTCTGACCTAACAACCATCAACCATCTATGCATCTCAGTCTTGAAGATGTGAATGGATCCGGCCATAATCCACAGCCTTTTGGGGCAGAGAGTTTCTACACCAATCACATCAACTCACATCGCACTGGGATCCACGGGTAAAATGTGAAAATACAGGGCAAAGCAGAGAGAGAGTGAGAGTGTGAGAGACAGAGAGAGAGAGAGAGAGAGAGAGAGAGAGAGAGCACTCCATAAGGGGTCAGAAAGATTCCCATGTGTGGGTGGAACGCTCAGTTTGGTTCTGAGACGTTTAAGTACAGGGATGAGTGTGTGTGTGACTGACCAAACAATGCAAAAGGCCGATGCTGGAAATCTGAAATAGAAACAGAAGTGGCCGGGACCACTCAGCAGGTCAGGAGGCATCAATCCAGGGAGGAAAGCGAATTAACGTTCAGGTCGATGACTTTGGTCACTTTCCTCTCTCCATAGATGCTGCCTGACCTGCTGAGTGGTCGCAGCCACTTCTGTTTTTGCAACCTAAGTGATTCTTCCACTGAGAGGATTCCAGGTGCCCCAAGTCGTGCAATTAACCAATAATAATTCATGATAATTAACACCCGTAAATATAACAATCTTTCCATTTGACACAGGGCCTTATCTACATCATTGAGATGGCTCAAAGCGGTTCACGGAATTTACTGCAAAGTGTAGTGACTGTGCACTTTGCACGAGGCATAATAGCTGTCCCCAAATCCCCGCGCCCCCCCACTCCCACTCCTGCTCTCCCCACACCAGCTGTGTTCCCCCAACCAGGCTGTGCAGCTCATTACCAGCTGGTTGAAGGTGACTTGAGGACCATCCACGTCGTACATGAACCACCAGCTGGCAGCGCCCACCGTACCCAGCCCCACGTAACCTGGGGAACGAGGGCACAGGGTCAACAGCAGCGACAGCAACAACCCCCCCCACTCCCTGGGCCTATGCAAGACAATCCCATCCCAGTCTGGGACAACGAGTGAGCGAGTGATTTTTATCAGGGGACACCGAGAGAGAAACTCTTCGAGTATCAGGTTATTGAGACGTCTCAAAGCCCTTCACAGGGAATACTGTGTATTTTGTGGGAAAAATACGGCAGCCAATTGCGCAAAGCAGCGTCCCACAAAGAGTTTTGGATTAAGTACTAATTTTTTTCGAGGGATTATTACCCCAGGAAAGTGATCAGCGAATAGATTAACAACTAGGTTCCTACTTACTGCTTAAACAGCGGCATGTGTGTGGGAATAAGGAAACTTATCTCAAGTCTCGTCCTGCCTGGGAATCAAACCGGGGTCCTCTCGTTTGCGAGGCGAGCGGGTTAACCACTGAGCTACAGGACTCCACATACCTACCCTTCCCTCTTTAAATACCCTGGATTGATTGATGGCACCTGTGAGAGTGTGGACGCCGAGACCCTGATTGCTCACCTCCGATGGCGATGTAGCGGAAGAAGAGCCATCCGCTGATGAGGGGCTCCTTGGGGTTGCGGGGCGGCTGCCTCATGATGGCCAGGTCGGGGGGGTTGAACCCCAGGGCCGTGGCCGGCAGTCCGTCCGTCACCAGGTTCACCCACAGCAGCTGTACTGGGATCAGGGCCTCGGGGAGACCCAGGATAGCCGTGCAGAAAATACTGGGCGGGAAACAGTACAGTAAGAGTTAACCCCCACCACATTGACTGTGAATTGACCGTATATTTTGTGGGCGAAACGCGGCAGCTGATTGCGCACAGCAGCGTCCCCACACACAGCCGTGGATTGAAGTGACCAACATTATAATAATAATTTTTTGGGGGGAACGAATGATTACCCCCCAGAAAGCGATCGGCCAACGGAACCCGGGTCCTCACACCTTGCGAGACGAGCGGTTAAGCACAACACTACACTGCAAGCCCAGGAGAGCTCTGGAGATGAACCTCGGGCTGTTTGGAAGACGGAGGTTGGAACATCTCTCCTCTAGCAACTGCTGCCCGTCAGGGCGGTCAATGGACTATTCGCTAACCACTACGCAACAGTACTACCCACTCCACCCGCGCTACAGAGAGAGAGAGAGAGAGAGAGAGAGGGGGGGGAGACGGCAGGCACTGACCACACCACCTCGCCACGTTGGAGGAGATGAGGTAGCGGATGAATTGCTTCATGTTGTTGTAGATGGCTCGACCCCTCCACCGCGGCCACGATGGTGGAGAAGTTGTCGTCGGCCAATACCATCTCACTGGCGCTCTTGGCCACTGCGGTCCCCGAGCCCATCGCGATCCCGATCTCCGCCTTCTTCAGGGCCGGGGCGTCGTTCACCCGTCACCGGTCTGTGTGAGGGGGGGGGGCACATGGTCAGCACAACGGGGGGACACATGGTCAGCATGGCGCAGGGTTGAAAGGGGGGCTTCTTGTGTCCGAGGGAGGTTGGGGAAGTGAATTTGACTGCTCTCGGCAGACGTTAGGGAGGGAGTGAATGTGTGAGGAGTGATGAGGGAGCGAGCGAGCGAGGGAGGAGTGAGTGAGAGAGAGAGAGGGAGGGGGAGTGAGGCAGAGAGTGAGGGGGTAGAGAGGGAGTGAGTGAGTGAGGGAGGGAGGGAGGGAGTGAGGGAGGGAATGAGTGAGGGAGGGAGAGTGAGAGAGGGAGTGAGTGAGGGAGAGAGAGTGAGAGAGGGAGTGAGTGAGGGGGAGAGAGAGAGGGCTCACCATGGCTGTGATCTCGTTGAAGGACTGCAGATACTCCACAATCTTGGACTTGTGAGCCGGTTCGACTCGGGCGAAGCAAGCGAGTGGAACGACAGGCTTCCCGCTGCTGCTCTGGCGACAGGTCGTCGAACTCCCGGCCGGTGAAGGCCTTCCCCGTCACCTCCTCGTCCTCCCGGAAGATCCGATGCGCCGCAGATGGCCACCGCAGTGCCCTTGTTGTCCCCGGTGATCATGATGACCCGGATCCCAGCCTTGGCGCACATCTCAATGGAACCGACAACCTCCTGCCGCGGAGGGTCTAACATCCCCACACAGCCAACAAAGGTCAGGTCAGTCTGCGGGGGGTGGAGAGAGGGAGTGTGAGAGAGAGGGGAGGGGGGGAGAGAGAGAGAGAGGGAGAGAGAGAGAGTGTGAGGGAGGGAGGGAGATAGTACGAGTGAAAGTGGGAGGCAGAGAGTATGAGAGAGTGGGAGAGAGTGGCAGATAGGGAGATGGAAAGAGAGAGGGAGGAGAATGATAGATAGGGAGAGAGTGTGAGAGAGAGGGAGGGAGAGAGAGAAAGATAATGTGTGTTGGTGGGGGAGCGAGAGTCAGAGAGGAGCTTGGTGTCCGTGCCCCCATCCCCACCCCCGGAGATACTCACCTCGTACTTGATGAACTTGGTGGCATCCTGCAGGTCCATGGTGTCCCTGTTTGGGGGGCTGTCGCGGGTGGCGAGGGCCAGACAGCGCAGGGTGTCCCGGCCTGTACCCCACTCCTTGATCAGAGCCATGATCTTCCCTCGCACGCCCCCCGTCAGGGCCAGCTTCGTGGTCCCCACTCGCACATGTGTACAGCGCTCGATCACACTCTCCGGGGCCCCCTACACGGACACATACATTATAGCCCCTACACACACACACACATTATAGCCCCTACACACACACACACACACATTATAGCCCCTACACACATACATTATAGCCCATACACACACACACACACATTACAGCCCTTCCACACACACACACACACATTATAGCCCCTACACGCACACACACACACATACATTATAGTCCCTACACACACAGGAATACCAGCAACCAGCATCAGTGGCCGGGGAGAATATCATCATCAATCACCAAACAATGACACCAAACAACAACCATCACCACCTGGCAGATACACCCACACACACACACTCGTAGACACACACACACACTCATAGACACACACACAACTTGCATTTATATAGTGACGCACACACTGATACACACACAACAAAATTGTACTTGTATAATGCCTTTCACACACAGACAGACACACATACACAGACACACGCACGCACAGACACACACACTCACAGACACACACACGCACAGACACACACACTCACAGACACAACACGACACACACACGACACACCCGCGAGTCACAGACACACACACGCACAGACACACACACTCACAGACACACACACGCACAGACACACCCGCGAGCGGTTTTTCACCTTGACAAACATCTTGTTGCCTGCCCGCTGGTCGAGGGATTGGCGGGGGAGCAGAAGACGGACATGGACTTGCGATCGCGGAGAATTCCAGAGTCACTTCTTTCTTCATCAGCTGTTTGATAATCTGGGGAGAGATCGGACACCAGCGGCCAAACCATCAAACCTGCCACTTCCTCCCGACAAAACCCTTCCCAAATGAGGGCGCGCGTGTGAGAGCACTGCGTGAGAGAGGGTCCAGAGAGCGTGCAAAGGAGTGGTGTGTACCAGTCCTTGCCAGGCTCCACTGGCTCCAATTACCGAACTGATCCATTTCAAGACCCTCTCACTCGTCAACAAATCCCTTCATGCCTTGGTACCTCCTACTCTCCGACCTGCTTAACCCTCTCACTCCACCACCCGCTGCCTCCGCTCGGCTGACTCCGGCCTCCTGCTCGTCCCTCGTCCCCTCAACCATCGGTGGCAGTGCCTTCAGCCGCTACGCCCGGAAACTCTGGAACTCTCTCCTCAACCCTTCACCTCGCCCCTCCTCCCACATTCAAATCCCCACCTAAAGACCTTCCTTTTTTGATCGCGCTTACGGTCACCTCTGCCCTCCTCTCCCCCTGGCTCGGGGTCAGACTCCGCCACTGTCAAGCCCCCCGGGACCCTATCCCGCGTGAAGGACGCTGTGTAAATGCAAGTAGTTGTTGTGGTCGAGAGTGTGCGAAGGAGCGCTTACAAGAGAGCGCACGTGTGTGCGCGCGCGTGGATGACCGTGCGTGCGTGTCGTGGCGAGCGTTAGCAACGTAACTCACATTGTTACACGCGGTGGCTCGCTCCACTCTGGATATGTCGCTCAGATCCGTGTTGAAGACGTTCATCTTCTCTACCAGGCAGGTCAGGGCCGTCTCCGTGGCCTCCCCCACCTTCTCATAGATCCCTTGGCCTGTAACCCGACAACCACAGGGTGAGCCAGCGCGCCTCAGAAAGCCCCCGCTCCCCCTCGTCCCCGCCAGCCCCACCCCCACCCTGTTCTGCCTCCTGCCCTGCTCCACCACCCGCCCCATCCCATCCTTGCCCAGTACCTCCCACTGTCCCAGTCCCCCGCCGCCCCCCCCCACCCCCCGTCCAGCCATCCACCCCGACAGCCCCACACCGTCCCCGGCGACTGTTACGCACCTCGTTGTAATCCAGCGAGGAGTCGTTACACAGCGAGCAGATGGTGGCCAACTCCACCAGCCCGCTGTAGTCTCCAGGCCGCACTCGGATCCCCGCCACCTCCCTGCGTCCAAACACACACCCGCGTCAGCTCACACATACACCCGTCAGTTTACATACTCGCTGCGCATAAGTCACTGCCCACCCTCCACACGCACACGCACGCGGTGTCGCCCCGCAACCAGCCCACCCGTCCACCAACACATGGTAACGTGGGTGTAGCTGCTCCAGTGCTAGATGTCACCACTAGATGTCAGCAGCTGACTGTAAACTGATCCTGGGCACAGCGGGACAATGATCTAATAATCCTGGTGTGAGATACAGCGCTCGGTGCTCATTGCCCCCCTGTACCGGTGCGGGGAGGTGGGTGGGGGTGGGGGTGGTTGGGAGGGGTTGACAGAGGGAGTGGGGAGTGGGGAGGGGAAGGGGACGGACACTCACACGTGGCCGTCAGGGGCGTAGGTGGATCCGGTGATGTTGAACTCGTGCATTGTGCAGCTGTCACCCTCCACCTGGTCCAGCACGAACATCTGCGGAGGACAGATCACCGTCACCTCGGGTTACTAACGGCCCCCCCCACCCCTCACTCACTCACGTTCGACACAGTACTGCAGTAACACGGCAGTTTACACCCCCACCCTCGCCCTCGCCCGGCTTCACGGCTCCTCAGCCCCCAGAGGATAGAGTTCAAAATACTGGTCCTCACCTTCAAAGCCCTCCACGGCCTCCCTCCTCCCTGCCTCTGTGACCTGCTAACCCCCTATAGCCCCGTCCGCCCTCTCCGCGCTCTGACCTGCTCCACATCCCCCGCCCTGGCTGTCCCACTATCGACGGTTGGACCTTCAGCATCTTTGCCCTCACCTTTTGGAGCACAATCCCACCGTCCCTTTGCCTCGCCCCCCCCCCCTGGCCTCGCCTCCTTCAAGGGGCATCTCAAGACCCTCCTCTTCGACCGCGCCTTTGGCCACCATCCTATCCCCACCCTCCCCGCCCTCCCTTCCCTCCTGATCCCAAACCATCAGCTCGGGTGCGGATCCCTGACTGTCCAGCGCCTTGGGACGTCCTCCCAATGTGCAAGGCGCTGTGTAAATGTCTCTCATCCAGTGATGAGCTTTGCCCCCGAACCCCACACCAAGTGTGCGTCAGGCCAAGTGGGGCGCGGGTTGGGGGCTGGGGGGGGGCTGCAATGGGATTGACTGTGTAACGAGGGGACCGGGGCCCGGGCGACACCCACTCTGTCACTTTGACACCATGAGATATGTGGGAGGCAGTGAAGCTTCCAGAGGCTTTCACTTCTCCCAGACTATCAACGGATCATTAGCCAAACACCCCTCCGCCCCCACCCCCTCCCCGGCACAAACCAACCACTGGTACAGACTGGAACCCGAGGTGGGGGAGGAGGGGGGGGACGGGAATATCCTGCACTGTGGATGAGGAGGCGTGAATCACGATGGCTGGGGATCAAACCTATGTCAGGAGGCAGAGATCGGTTTTATCTGCGCTCCCCCCCCACCACCCGCTCCCCCCACCACCTTATCCATCACCCACACCGTCACGGCGGGAACGAGGACCAGGTTGAATAATAACAACACTTGCACTTGATACAGCGCCTTATCACGTCTTTGAGACGTCTCAAAGCGCTTCACAGAATATACCGGAAAGTGTAGTGACTGTGTGTTTTATGGGCGAAACGTGGCAGGCAATTGCGCACGGCAGCGTTGCACAAACGGCCGGGGATTGAGTGAGCAAATTATTACTATTTTTTTTTGAAGGGATGATTCCCCCCGGAAAGCGATCCACCAGCCGGGTTCCTAACTTACTGCTCGGTAAAGTGAACTTGCCGGAGGTTTCTCCCTGCCCGCCCGCCCGCCTGCCCGCCCGCCCGCCCGCCCGGGTATCAGACCCGGGTCCACTCGCTGGCGAGGCAAGCGCTCTAACAACTACACTGCAGGATTCCACAGCGCAGGCAAAGTGTTTAACCAAACGTTCCGCCCTGTGTTTTCGGGCTTGGAAGCCCATTTCTCTTCCTCCTTTCCCGGGGTTTGGCGTCGATCCACACAGGAAGGAAAGCTCCCACACACTCGCTCGCTCGCTCGCTAGCTAGGGTTACCTTATAAGGGCGGAGATGTGGCTGGCGCTGGAGTTGTGTGTGAGTAAAAAAAAATGCTTTCGAAACACAAACAAAGAGGGGAAGTGATGTGGCTCAACTCCAGCCCCACCCACCAACCCCCCCGCACTCCCCCACCCTCTCGCGCACCCCCCCACCCTCTTGCGCACCCCCCCCCCACTCCCCCACTGGATTGATTGTGTATTTTGAGAGCAGACTGCCACTTACTTCAGTCAATATCCCGGCTGCACTTACTTATGCACTTAACACGGCTTAACTCGCCACTCCTGATCACTCATTGCTGAGCCCGGAGTGACGAGCGATCGAGAGTTTAGTGCGAGAGAGAGGGATGGAGGGAAAAATAAATCCCAGGATTCATCATGTGATAAGGCGCTATATCAAATGCCAGGATTATTATGATGATGATGATGATGATGTGGCCGGAGCAGCCTTTCACACCTGCCCTGTAGCCTGGGATCTCTCCGCCTCCGGAAGATTCTCCCCTGGGAGTCCTGTAGTGCAGTGGTTAGCGCTCGCCTCGCAAGCGAAAGGACCCGGGTTTGTTTCCCGGACGGGGAGAAACCTTCGGCAAGTTTCCTGACTCCTTACTCTGTTTACCAGCACTAGATAGGAACTCGATGGTCGTTAGTCGATTGGTGGATCGCTTTCGAGGGGATAATAATCCCTCCCAAAAAAAAGTGTGGTCACTCAATCCACGACTGTTTGCGGGACTGTGCGGGCAACTGGCGACCGCGTTTCGCCCAGAAAACACAGTCAATTCACTCCACCGTATATTCTGTGAAGCGCTTTGAGACTTTTCAACCACGTGATAAGGCGCTGTATCAAATGCAAGGATTATTATTATTATCATTGAGGGGAAAGGGAAGGGTGGGGTTGTGTATGTGTGTGTATATGTGTCTGTGTGTGTGTGTGTGTGTGTGTGTGTGTGGTGGGGGGGGACAAGTGGAAACACACCACTAACAAGCTTTTCCTGTTCAGTTATGTAAATAGTTTGCACATGGCTGGAAAGCTGAGTGAGGACTGATTTACGGTTTCACCTCTCCCAAACTCAAACAACGCTCATTCCCCTCCCTCCGCCCCCCCCCCCCCACTCCCCCGCCCCCTCGGGTATCCGGAGCCACGTTCCAGAGACAGGGAATCCCCGTCCCGTGGGCAGAGTGAGTGCGTGGGAAAGGGAACGGCTCCAGAGGTCAGGTGTCTCAGGTTCAGCTCCCAGCACGGAGACTCCATCCCACTAACGCAGCTCAGCACAGCCTCAGATACTGAGGCAGCTTAGACACCGAGGGCTTGTGTCACAGAGAGGCAGAGGAGAGAGAGAGAGAGAGGGAATGAGGGAGAGAAAGAGAGAGAAAGAGAGGGAGGGAGAGCAAGAGAGTGAGCTAGGGAGAGAAAGAGAGAGAGAGAGAGAGAGAGAAAGGGGGAGGGAATGAGAGAGCGAGAAAGAGAGAGAGGGAGAGAGAATGAGAGAGAGGAAATGAGAGAGCGAGAGAGAGAAGGAAGGAATGAGAGAGGAAGAGCAAGAGAAAATAGAGAGGGGAAGAGCGAGGGAATGAGAGAGAGTATGAAACAGTGCAAAAGAGGAAGTGGCAGAGAGAGAGAGAGAGAGGAGAAAAAAGAGAGAGAGGAGAGCAAAAGAGTTAGTGAGAGAGTAAAGAGAGAGAGAAAAAGAGAGTGAGAGAGAGAGAGAGAAAAAGAGAGAAAAGCAAAATAATTAGAGGGAGAGAGAGAAAAAGAGAGGAAGAGCAAGGGAATGGGAGAGAGAGAGCAAAAAAAGAGAGAAAGAGCAAGAGACCGAGAGAGAGTGAGCGAGTGAGAGAGAGAAGAGAGAGAGAAATCTCCACTTACGTCCTGCTAACACCAACCATCCCAGCGATGGCTCTACACTTTCCAACTGCCCGAAACTCTGGAACAATCTCCCTCTATCCCTCCGCGTTGCCCCTTCCCCATCTTCAGGTCGCGACTAAAGACCTTCCTATTCGGTCACCTCCCCCTCCCCCCCGCCTCGGTGTCGTGCTCCTCCACTGTCAATGTGTGTTCCGGGGACGCTGCCCTGTGTGAGGGGCGCTGTGTAAATGCAAGTTGTTGTTGAGTTATAGTGGGCGGGCGGGCGGGTGGGTGTTTGTGTTTGAGTGTGTGAGAGTGTGTGTGTGTACGAATGTGTGTGTATGGGTGTGTGTGTCTATATGGGGTGGGGCATGTTATGGGTGTGTGTGTGAATGGGGGTGTGTGTCTGAGTGTGTGTATGGATGTGTGTGTTGGAGTACGCATGTGGGTGTGTTTGAGTGTGCGAGTGTGTATGAGTTTGAGTGAATGGTTGTGTGTGTGTGTATGTGTGTGTGTATGTATGTGTGTTGGTGCACACCCCCTGTCAGGGCCTCACTGACCTTGCATACGGACATCTGGTTGGTGGTCAGGGTGCCGGTCTTGTCGGAGCAGATGATGGAGGTGCAGCCGAGGGTCTCGACGGAGGGCAGGCTGCGGACGATGGCGTTTTTCTTGGCCATGCGGCGGGTGCCGAGGGCCAGGCAGGTGGTGATGACGGCGGGGAGACCCTCGGGGATGGCGGCCACGGCCAGAGCCACCGCGATCTTGAAGTAGTAGATGGCGCCGCGGACCCAGGAGCCTCCGTGCACGGGGTCACTGAAGTGCCCGATGTTGATGACCCAAACGGCCACACACACCAGAGAGATGACTTTGCTCAGCTGCTGCCCAAACTCGTCCAGCTTCTGCTGCAGCGGCGTGCGCTCCTGCTCCGTGGCTGCCATCTGGTTCCGGATCTTTCCGATCTCGCTGTGCACGCCCGTGGCGATCACCACCCCCACAGCTTTCCCCGACGAGATGTTGGTTCCCTGTGTGGGGGAGAGGGAGGGGGGAGGGGGTCAGTAAGCCACCACACCAAAAAGGTCGCTGAACTGATTGATTTCAAGATCTTCGCACGCCTTTTCAAAACCCTTTGTGCCCTGGCACCTCCCTACCCTCTCCCACCTGCTTACCCCCCCAACCCACAACCCTCTCCCACCTTCTTATCCCCCCCAACCCACAGCCTCCGCTCCTCCACTGGCTCCGGCCTCCTGCATGCCCCTCGTGCCCTCCGTTCCACCGCTGCCAGCCGAGCATCCAGCCCCTACGCCCCGAAACCCTGGAACACGCTTCCTCTATCCCTCCGCCTCCCTCCTCCTTGCCCCCCCCTTCCTTTCCCATCGTCAGGTAGCGCCTGAAGACCTTCCAATTCGACTGTGATTACGGTTTACCCCCTCCTCCCCCCGACTCGCAGCTCAGTGGTGTGTTTGTGTGGTACCTGGCTCAGTGTGTGTTGGTGTGTACCTGGCTCAGTGTGTGTTGGTGTGTACCTGGCTCAGTGTGTGTTGGTGTGTACCTGGCTCAGTGTGGGGGTGTACCTGGCTCAGTGTGTGTTGGGGTGTACCTGGCTCAGTGTGGGTCGGTCGTGTGTGTGTACCTGGCTCAGTGTGTGTTGGTGCACCTGGCTCAGTTGTGGGGTGTACCTGGCTCAGTGTGTGTGGGGTGTACCTGGCTCAGTGTGTGTTGGGGTGTACCTGGCTCAGTGTGGGGGTGTACCTGGCTCAGTGTGGGGGTGTACCTGGCTCAGTGTGGGGGTGTACCTGGCTCAGTGTGTGTTGGGGTGTACCTGGCTCAGTGTGGGGGGGGTCCTGGCTCAGTGTGGGGGTGTACCTGGCTCAGTGTGGGGGGTACCTGGCTCAGTGTGTGGGGGGCTCCTGGCTCAGTGTGGGGGTGTTCCTGGCTCAGTGTGGGGGTGTACCTGGCTCAGTGTGGGGGGTACCTGGCTCAGTGTGGGGGTGTACCTGGCTCAGTGTGGGGGGGTTCCTGGCTCAGTGTGGGGGTGTACCTGGCTCAGTGTGGGGGTGTACCTGGCTCAGTGTGGGGGTGTACCTGGCTCAGTGTGGGGGTGTACCTGGCTCAGTGTGGGGGTGTACATGGCTCACTGTGGGGGTCTCAGACACGGAAGTGCAGTTCCGGAGACTGTACAGTACAGAGCCAAAAGCCACTCGGCTCCTGATTGGCTCCCGCGGGGACTCAGAACTTTGAATAAGCCCCGCCCCCTCCCGCCCCGTGACGTCACCGAGATTTGGCTAAAAGCCATCAACTTCCCATTGGCTCAAATCAATGGTAACTGGGACTACCCCCCACCCACCCCCCCACCCCCCCACCCACCCCCCCACCCCACCCCACCACCCCACCCATACCGCCTGTCACACACACACACACAACAAATTACATGTCAGGAGGACGTCCCAAGGCGCTGGACAGTCAGGGCTCTTCACCCAAGCTGGTGGTTGGGATAGGAGAGATGGAGGGTGGGGCAGGCAGGAGTAGGAGGATGACCGAAGGTGCGATCGAAGGGGAGGGTCTTGAAGGAGGCAAAGGAGAGGGCGAGGCGGATGGACTGCGGGATGGGGTTCCAGAGGGTGGGGGCAGAGAGGCGAATAACATTCTGTCCAGCGTCTTGGGACGTCCTCCCGACGTGAAAGGCGCTCTATAAATGGAATCTTGTTGTTGTTGTTGAAGGCCCGCCTGCCAATGGTGGGGCGGGCAAGGTGGGGGACATGAAGCAGGCCGGAGCTTGCTCAGTGGACAGGTTGTTAGGGGGTTAGGAGGTCGCAGAGGTGGGGGGGGAGCAAGAATTCTAGATGATCTACAGCCTGTGGAGGGTGAGTTGGGGAGGCCGACAAGCAGAGAGTTTCCGTAATCGAGCCTGGATGTGATGAACGTGTGGATGAGGGTCTCGGCAGCCTGCAGTGAGTCAGGCAATGTTGGGTCATGGCACAGATGTGGGGTATGAAGGACAGTTGAGGTTCGAACAGGACAGCAAGGTTCCATATTGGTTCCGTGAGAAGTTGGCTCCTTCCTTGGAGGGTGATGCTGTCAGCGCCCGAGATATGGAGGAACTGACTGGAGCCAAGCAGGAGGAGCTCGGTTGTTGACATTCAACTGGAGGAAGTTTGGTCTCATCCAGGACTTGATGTCCGACAAGCAGTCTGTGAGGACATCAGTGGTCCTGGAGTCGAGGGTGAAGGCAGAGAGGTAGAGTTACATGACTCCATGTCTGCGAATGATGTCACCAAGGGGGAGCATGTAGATGTTGAAAAGGGCAGGGTCAAGATCAGAGCCCTGAGGGATGCCACACGTGAGTGGAGACAAAGTGGAGTCGGTGGGAGAGGTAGGATTTGAACCAGGCAAAGGCAGGTCCACGCAGATTGAGCTGAGAGGCGAGGCGATGTAGGAGGATAGAGTGTTCAACAGTGTTGAAGGCAGCAGAGAGGTTAAGGAGGACGAGGAGGAAGAGTGAGCCGCTGTTGCGGATGGACAGAATGTTATTAGTGACTTTGACCAGCGCTGTTTCTGTGCTGTGGGCAGCACGGAAACCCGATTGGAGAGGTTCGTAGAGGGGATGGCGGGCAAGGAAGGAGCGATGCTGGGACACGAGGACTTGTTCCAGGGCCTTGGAGGGGAATGGGATGTTGGAGATGGGGCGATAGCTGGAGAGTAGGGATGGGTCCAGGCAAGGTTTTTTGAGGGTGGAGATGATGACAGCTTTTTCTAAAGGGGTGGGAACAGTGGCAGTGGATATGTAGAGGTTGATATCAGTTAAAAGAGGGCCCAGGTGTTCGAGCTGGTAGGTAAGGATAGGGATGGGGGCAAAGGGAGCAGGTGGTGAACTTAATTTTTGAGATGATGAAGGTGAGGGAAGAGGGGTAGATGGGGTCAAAGGTGTGTAGGGAGGGGTGGGTAGGAGCCAGGGATTGAGCGGGTGGTGGGGAGCAGGTAGTGGTAGAGGGAGGAGAGGTAGTTGAACAAATCCCCTCGATTTTGGACTCAAGTAAGTCCAACATCATCTCGCAGTTGGGATTGGAGGAGAGGATGGGCGAGGCGCGGGAAGGCAGACGGAGGAGGCGGTTAGTGGTGGAGAAGAGGAGCCTGGGATTGTCCTTGGCCTCCAAGATTATCTTGGGAGTAAAAGGATGATTTTGCGAGGGTGGAGCAGTAGGCTTTGGTGTGGTCAAGCCAGATCTGCCGATCGACCGTTGGGTTTGATTTGGTCCAGGTGCGTTCAGCGGTGCACAGTTGTGCCTTGGTGACTTGGTGACGGAGGTGACTGGTGTACCAGGGGGATTTATGGGAGTAGGAGACGGTTTGGGAGCTGAAGGGGGCAAGGGAGGCAAGGATGGAAGAGAGGGAATTGTGGAGAAGAGAGATCGAGGTGGGTAGGTCATTGTGAGAGGAGGGCCAGAGGGGCAGGAGGTCAGATGACTCCAAGGCAGCGGAGAGGGAGTGGAGGGAGATTTTTTTCCAAGGGCGGTAGGAGATAGAGTTGGGTTGAGTGGGGGAGGAAGGAATGGAGGAGCTAAGGGAGATGAAGTGGTGATCTGAAATGGCTTTGTCAGTGATGGTGATGTGCGAGATGGTGAGGCCCCGGGTGATCACCAGATCAAGGGGGTGACCGTGGATGTGGAGGGAGAGTTTGAGGGAGGAGGGGAGGGAAGAGACGTCAGCGAAGGTAGAGCAGGTTGAAATCGCCTAGGAGCAGAGGGAGAGGGAAGATAGGATGGTGGAGATGTCCGAGAGGAACGTGGGGGAGATTTTGGGGGTACGATAGACGAGGAGGATTTTGAGGGAAAGGTTGGAGGATGGTAGAGGAGTAAGGGGGTAGGCCGAGTGGGAACTGGGAGATGAGAGCCACATTACCACCGTGGCGGTTAGGTAATGGGATAAAATGGAAGGTGTAGCCGGGCGCTGTGGCCTCGGTCAGGGAGAAGGTGTCGCCTGGAGTGACCCAGGTTTTGGTGAGGCTGAACACACACACAGACAGACGCACACACACACACACACACACACAGCTGTCTCTAGTACGTATTTGCAGTGTTGGGGAAGTGCTGCATTGTCCGAGGCACCGTCTTTCAGACGAGACATTAAACTGAGGGCCAGTCCGTGCCGTTGAAGTTGAACGTTAAACATTTCGCGGCGCTATCGGAATACAGACAGGAATCTCTCTCCCGGACCGCGATCCCCAAATACATTCGCACATTTGCTTCATGACTGCTCGTGGGACGTTGCTGTGGGCAAATTGGCTGCTGGGTGTGTGTCCCTCCCTCCCTCCCGCCTCGAAAAAAAAATACATTCA